TCTAACCACTAAGCCGTCGGTGGATTTTAGCGTATTTATTTTTAGAAACACATGAGTGACTGACAGTGACTAATTCATTTTCGCGAGGCTATCTATTTATATATATATATATATATATATATATATATATATATATATATATATATATATATATATATATATATATATATATATATATATATATATATATATATATATATATATATATATATATATATATATATATATATATATATATATATATTATATGTTTCAATTTTTTTGAGTTTTTTGAAAACAGCTGATAAATATTCATCGAATTTGATGTGATAACGCCAGGCAACTTATGTGTGAGTCAAAGTTACTCAATTCAATCTTTAATAAACGAAAGTGAGTAAATAAAAGTCTTGGAAAGTTTTTTTTTTGCTCTTGTACATACTTATAAAATAAAATGCTTACATGTAGTCTCACAGAGGGCGAAACGCGTCGGCTATGTGAAGATTTTCCATTCATGCTTATTATTTACCTGAAACTCACGCACACACAGACAACCGAATATATAAATATATATATATATATATATATATATATATATATATATATATATATATATATATATATATATATATGAATGAAATGGAAAAATAAAAAAAAAATATGTGAAAAAAAATTACTATTTTTCTAATCATATTTCTACGGCTACCAAGACGTTGATTCGTGCACTCGAAAGGATTAAAAAATGAACACACATAATATATCTAAATTATTTAACCAAGACTTTTTGAATGAATATATACATACAGTGCTGTTCGATAAAAGTGACTCACCTGATTTTTTTACTAAATGTTCTCTTCTCCGATGAAACGAAATTTGTGCTAAATTCAAAGGATACGCTACCTAAAATCCGAAGAATCTGCTTTGAAAGCTCTTTGAATTTAGCAGTGAGTACTGTCAAGTATCCGTTCAGTATTAATGTTCTTGGGATGCTTTTCTTTTCATGAAACTGGTTTCTTAAAACCTATTGAAAAGACCCTCAGGTGCTAGCAGTACAAGAGAATTTTAGAGTCTTTTCTGCTCCCTTCTGCTGAAAGTGTGCAAATCGACCCCACCAAGCTCATTTTTATGCAGGATAATGCTCCCTGTCACAAATCAAAATTGATAAAGGAATACTTTGATGAAAAGCAGGTGAGTGTTATGACATGGCCGCCCCAATCTCCTGACTTCAACCCCATAGAAAACTTATGGAGCATTATAAAGAGAAAGCAGTTGAGCAACAAAGAGGATTTGATCGTGATTTTCATATCCGAATGGAATTCAATGCTTGGAGATGAGATTTGCGAGAACATAATCAAGTCAATGCTAAAAAGGGATGAAAAGGTTATTCAAAATAAAGGAGGACCCATAGATTATTAAATATTTCGAACTATATTACCTATTATAAATAAATTATACATCTATTATTCTTTATTTAAAGCTGTTCGGTTATGTTCCTATTGTTTACTACTTGCAGGAAATAAGTGAGTCACTTTTTTGCACAGAGTTTTTCCCTAAATCTCATTTATATCCGAAATTATAATTATCAATAGAATACCTTAGGGTGAGTAAACTTTCTCCCTAGGTGGTCGGAAAGGGGTCTTTTTATTAGTAAGATTAAAAATTAGTTTGACCTCCCCCAAAAAATAATCGAAAAATTTTTAAGTAAAAAATATCAGGTGAGTCACTTTTATCGAAAGTGTGTGTGTGTGTGTGTGTGTGTGTGCTGGGTTTATAAAACCATGATATAATTTACTCCGAACATTTCTTCGATCACATTTCTGAATCATCTTTTATATTATTCGTCTGCTTTCAGTTCTTTTTCAAGCTTTCAGTTGTATTTTTAAATTCTAAAGAAAATACCTTTCTTCTTTGCTTTATAACTTTTCGAACTTTTCGTATCTTATCTTCTTTACATATCTGTCTGTCCGGGTTACTGTCAAGGAATTTCGGATATAAACCCTCATTTATGAGGTAACTTCTTTTTTGTTCACCTTTTATTTTACTACTGCTCAGTTATTGAAAAACAAAATATATCCCTGAATATGTACAAGCGGAACAATAATAATCTACCACTGCGAATAAGTAAAGGGTTTAGCTAGAAATTCTTTAATGGTTACTGGATCAACAGACGCCCCAAGAAAACTGAACAGCACAGCCGTTGTAATAATATCATATTTAGATGAGATTAATTCAAATGGACACAAATCAAATAATAACATATTGCTGAAATACACTCAGATGTGCCTATTTAATTAAACCTTAGACCCCCACCCCCAATTAAGCATCGATTGCCGTCAGAATTCCATACAGTGCATATTGGATTTAAATTGATTTATATGGTTAATATATTCTGTGACATCTTTTCTCCTCTGTTTGGATTTTCGTTCATTATCACTTGATAAAATATACGGGATCTACCACGTGATAATTTTTAAGATAAATTGATCAGAAAATGTATCCATGGAAAACTAAGAAGGAATAAATTGTTATAAAATAGGTTACAAGGTCACGTCATTGTTCGGAATTATTTCTCGTTTTTCTTTTCTCGTTTTTCTTTTCTCGTTTTTCTTTTCTCGTTTTTTTTTTTTCTGTTTTTTTCCCGCTTTTTGTCTTTTTCTTCTGGTGTTTTTCACAATTTGGCTTTTATTTTGTCTTTTTTTCCCATTTTTTTTTTTGCATTACTTATTAGAGAAACAAGATATACTACAATTTCTTAGAAAATATGATTAAATTTATCCTTTTGTAGAACATAGAATTGACTGTAGATAATAACGTCACCGAGATATTGATAATATTGAAACACTTTGTACTGTGCTGTTTCTTATGTCTTGCACCATTTACCACTCTCGGTAACACAGAAAATGCATTAACATGGAAGTTATGTTGTACAAATTCCATTATTTTAAAATGACTTTACATTATTTTTTATTATAGACTTATTTTGAATTTATTTTACCTTATTCTTTATTATTTACTTATTTCGAATTTAGTTTACCTTATTCTTTATCATATACTTATTTTGAATTTAGTTTACCTTATTCATTATTATATAATTATTTGGATTTTATTTTCCTTTATTCCTATTTTCCATGTCTTTTTAATTTTGGATTTTGTTCTCTAAGATTTTGTTAAGAAAATTAATTGAAATTCTCTACATTCCCTTGTCTCTCGCGATGCTTGCACTAGCGTCGCCTATAGAAATGTCAGTGCCTCTCATTATACAAAGCCTCTAAATTGACCCCATCGTTGAAACAGGAGTCAGATTTGCAACTAGCCCGTCAGTAATTCATTTCCATTCCGGGAATATTTCAGCTATTTAATTTCTTTCTTACATTATTTATCGTTGATTATTTTATCCATTCTATTCTTCTTTACATTTTGATTCTCCTTTTTTTATTTTGTATTATTTCTCTTTATTCCTTCCTTTATTTTCTTTTTTCTCTCTAGTTTTCTGAAGCGGCCATATTTCTTTTCACTCTCTTTGTTTGCTTTGTTTCTGATTGTCGTTTTGTCAAACTTTCATTCTCCATTATTTCGTTTACCCATCCTTTCTGAAATATTTGTTATTCTTTCTGTTTTTTTTTATTTATTTTTCTCCCTTTTAATTCTACTGTTTTTCATCAATTTCTTTTATTTTATTTTAATGCTTTTTTCTTCTTTTTATTTATCTTTAAACTTTGTTTGTCTCTGTAATTTCATTCATTTTTTGAATAGTCTTTCCATATTTATGCATTTTTTTTTCGTTTCAGGATTTTTCTTCTTCGCCTAATGATTCTTTTTTTTCATATTTCTTTTAAATTTTATTACAATTTTTCTTTCCATTCACAATATAAAAACTTTTAACATGACAACTGGATATTTTTTCTCTGCTTGTCGGTATTCTTCTCTTTTTCTTTAACTTTTATACATATATTTATTGGATTCTTTCTTTCTTATATCATTGTTCTCTTGAAATCATGCCTTCTATGCTTTTATTCTGACCGACGTTCATTATCGTTCCATTCCTTGTCTTTCTAAGTATGTCTATAGCATAGCATTTTATTCTTACTTTCTTTTGCATTACTTACTTTCTTTTGTTTATGTTTCTGTCATTTCTTCTTTTGCACTCTGTGTTTTTTCTTTCTCTTTTCCTCTTTCTATCTTTCCGTGTTTCCTTCTTTCTTTTTCTTTTTTTTATCGAATTACACGTTGAAGTATATCCCCCTTATATTATTCAGTCTTTTCTTTTCTTTTCTTTCTTTTAATTTTTCATTCTTATACTCCCATTATTCATTCATATTATTTATTTAGTTTACATTATGTCTTCTTTCCATTCAAGTATTTCTTTCTTTCTTTCTTTCTTTCTTTCTTTCTTTCTTTCTTTCTTTCTTATATTTACTTCTCTGTTTCTTTCTCAATTTTCTTTCTTTCTTTCATTCTTTATTTCTTTCCTGTTTTTACTTCTTTCTTTCGCTTTTTTACTTCTTTCTTTCTATTTTTCTTTCTATCGTTCTTTCTTTCTTTCCTACTTTTACTTAATTTAAGTTCTTTCTTTCTCATTTTACATTTTCTTCTTTCTTTCTATTCTTTTTTTCTTTTTTCTACTCTTACTTCTTGCTTTTCTACTTCTAATTTTTCTCTCTTTTGCTTCTGTCTTTCTTTCTTTCTTTTTTAGTTTGATTATTTCTATCGCGCTTACTCTCTTTCTACATTTGATTCGTTTTTTCTTCATTTATTATTTCCTACTTTCAATCATTCTTTCTTTCTTTCTTTTTGTATCCAAATGTTTACACCCCCAAGTTCTTTCTTCTTTTCTTCTTCTTCAAATTTCTTCACTGTTCATTCCACTTTTTGTCCTATAACCATTCTCCTAATTTTGTTCACTTAATTTCCCAGTTTTTCTTCTTTGTTATTCTTTCATTATTCCTTACATAATATAAAATTTCGTGTGTTAAATTATTCCCCCAATTTCCGTATTAATTCCACTACGCACCACCTTTTCGTGAATGTTCTTTTCCGAATTATTCCTGTGTATCTATCATTCTGCTTTAATTCCACTCATTATTGTTGTCCCGTTTCTATCTCTTTCTCTGTATAATCTTTATAATTTACTTTCACCTCCTCACTTTCCGACTCAGGCAACAAATGGCTTACGCTTCATTCATTTCTTTTCCCGTCATTATGTACTTTTGATACAAAACCCTTCTTCCGGAATGGCCTAACATCAAGTCTGTTTGTTATCATGACAGACAAAAGCCGATACTGAATGGAGACATTCAGCCCAGACCTCAGGCCGACAATTCCAAAAGGAGGTTACTGCAAAGGTGACTTTTGTGCTACCTGCTATAACCCCTTCAAATCTAATCTGTCATAATAACCAATTCCCCACCGTTCGTGTATTATCTCAAACGGCAAATCCTTTTTCGAAGGCACAAGGGACAGTCAACTTTGGCATCAGCCAATTTTTAGAGCCCTTGTTTCTCACACAACACGGTTTTTATGCGCCAGGATTGTCCTTCTCAGTATCAGGTCAATCATATCTCTGACCTAACTTAGAATTAATATGGCCTAAGCTTGTCGAAGACACATTGTGCTAAAAAAGAAATAAAACTGGAAAAAAACTGAGATGCAGCCGTCGTGCCCACAGATTTGTTACAGTAGAAAAGACGTTAAATAATATAAACAAAATAACAAAATCTCCCACACTGAGCTCATTACGGCAGGAGGAAAACTAGAACTGAATTGAAGCGAGAAGAATGTCAAGTTTAATATATGGGAAATTGCAAACGAGTATTTTCCAAATAATAATTTAGTTTTGGTCGAATAACTATATGAAAAGCAATGTTAAGAAAATGTCGTGGATTTTCAACATTTCAAAATTCAAACAAATTTCTCACTTGATCGATTTGAACAAAAATTCTAGCGTCGTGACATTACACGTTCCAAAACATATATTCAACTATCGGTAAATAACATAATTTAAAAAAAAATCTTTCGTTGTACACGGATTTCGTCTTATCTTTTGCCTATATATAAGAAAATTAGGCCATGAAGATGACAATTTGAAATTTCCGAAAGCATTTGGCATGTGTTTTCCATCTGACAGCAACTCGAATATAAACATCTTATTATTCAATAAATTCAATGAATCGATAGTAAGCGCAATAATTTCAGCATTTATCTCATTAATATTGTTATTGAAATATTTGCATGAATTGTTACTTTATGATATAAAATATGAGCTACAGACTCTAATAATATATATATATATATATATATATATATATATATATATATATATATATATATATATATATATATATATATATATCTGAGATGAAACACTGAAACACTACAGTGGTTTCCCGATCCCTAAGTTCTCACTGAATTATTTGTATAAACTGTTTCTTTATGATATAAATATAAGATGCAGACACTAATACGTTCCTATACACACACACACACACACACACACACACATATATATATATATATATATATATATATATATAAAAATGATAAAACGATGAGTGAAAAACTGTAACAAATATGCTAAAATATTTACTTATTTATATTAATTCATAACAAAGCGAGCCCTTCACAAAAAGTTCGAATACATGGGTGTTGGCAAAAAGGGCAAATCAACAAGCGAATTACAGATTGGAGATGCCGACATCAAAGATGTGCAAAAATCTACATATCTAGGAAGCGTATTCACAGAGGACGGACAGTGACACGGAAATCCGAAGGTTCATTGGGATAGGAAATGAGACCTTACAAAAGCTATACAAAATATTAAATTATAACAAGTATAATTAGAAAAAATAAAACAGTATTGAAACTATTATGTAGTATCATTCCTCCAGTATGGTAGTCAATGCTGAACAATCTCCTCATATTTGAATAAGAGTCTTGCATCAAGTGAAATACTGTTCTAAGAAAGATCCTTACAACATAAACCAAACATGTTAGCAATGTCAACAAAAGGAACAATTATACATAACCTGATGAAGAGACTGTTGAAATTTTTGAACTCATGAGAAAAAATGGCTTGTAAAAGTTAATACCTTCAATTCAGATCGAAGGCATGAGAGCCAGAGGAAAGCAAGTCACAACCTACCTGCGGAACGTGAGAGAATGGATGTCGGAACAATGTTTGGGAGTGATGGCAAAAAGACAGAGTTATTCAGAGCTACAAAGAACAGGACTGAAAATTGTGAAGAGCTATGCTCATCAACGTCCTGAAGTGGCACGACACCTAGAAGAAGTAAAAGCCCTGGTAGCCGGAATAAATTATATGAGTATGCAATACCGATATCCTTAAGTGAATTGAAATTTATTACTGGTCGAAGTTTTTTAATTGAGTCGCTTTACTTCGCTGAGTCACTACAATACATCTTTCATGTCCTCCATCCATTTATAAGCATAAGTTCAGGCATGTCTCAGTTCAGATTTAATGGCTGGCCGTTCGTATTTGAGGATGCGTGTCGGATAGGGCGGCTAAAAAAAGACGTTGCAGGCGCCTGTTCAGTTACATTTCTGTTTGTTCAATATCCACAAATCCAACTTTTAATTTATAATACATCTCTGATGATCTAACTTTAGTTACAGTTTCTGGGATAGAACCTATTATCTGCCGTGATCAAAAGGTGTGTGCGCTCAAAACCTCATGGCCATCCATGACTCACAAATAGTTACGTCTACCCAGTCTCAGCCATTTGAACAAAACGGTGATATACATTATTTACATTATTCGGAATATTGTCCTCATCTTTGTCGCCATATTTATCACAACGTTTCGGCCGTTGTACGTAAACTTAAGTAATCAGCACATATCCTAAGCCACAAAAATCTCCTGAGCCGACCAAGCATAGAAATAAATACAATATGGGAACCAGTTATAAGGAGTGCCAGGGAAAAGCGATAATAAGAACACAGTTGCAATATGAGCTCTGGTAAAAACATGAAATGATAAAAGCAAAATATGCAATATGAGCACTGGTAAAAATGGTTGCTGAAGACATTAGCTTTATAATACCCAGAATTTCATACACACATGTCAACTAGGACTCATGGTTCAGTGGATAAAGGCGTTGGTTAGATCCAGTAACAGAACCCAAAGAGTGACAGTTCAATACCCGGTTAAAGCAGTGGAGAATTTTAAGAGGGAAACTTAACAGGCGATAACTGATATCCATTAAACATGGCACGTGGAACTAGAACAGTCTACCCCGGTGAGCGAAATAAAGGGTTCAGTTCGACATTCCAACCACCTGAAGAAGGCCGGCGCATACAAAGGCCGAAACGTTGTAATAAATATGGCAACAAAGATGAGGACACTAGTCCGTATAATGTAAATAAAGTACATAATACCTCATTTCAGAAATATAGACAAAACGATGATATATTTTTCAGGTACTTTCAGACAAACTAATATCCTCTATCAAGGTCGATAACACCCTGACATGGCGAGACTCCAACCGGAGTGTCATGGTCTAAAAGCGAATCACTCGGCGACATGCCCATCCTAATAAATATACATATTCATGTAGTTATTGAGGGCATAACTTTGTTGCCGCATATATATATATATATATATATATATATATATATATATATATATATATATATATATGAAGCAATATATTTTTAAGGTGTACTATATTTATGGGATAAATTGCTCTATATCAGAGATAGAGCGTATGTAAATATAAATATTAAAGTGAACATTGAATTCAGCACTCAAAGGCGACAGAATGTTTCATGCTAGACTCAATCGATTGTGTCCAGCATGAAACAGCCTGTCGACTCTGAGTGTTGACTTCAATATATATATATATATATATATATATATATATATATATATATTGTTTGATATAAAAAGTATCGGGGGTGTTGCTATAGTAACGTATGCAGAGTGAAACTGTTAGCACATATTGAACTTGAACTGTGTCCTTTCTCATCGAAGCAAGAAATAAAATAAAATGAAAAATAAGTAGTATTTTCTTTTTGGTGGAATTTATTTTTTTCTTCTCTACTATGTGTTATATTACCGATGTGATCTGATTTGTGGTGAATCAAAGACGTATAATAGGTTTCAACGCTTTGATCAGTAATTCCTGTTTTTGTTTGTTTGTTTGTTTTTGTTTTTTTGGGGGGGTTAGAAGAGTCACTAGTTTCCATCGCTGGGACCTTAAGAGATGTTACCACTCGGATCAAGGTGGATCTGGGAATACCACCACTAAGAGGTGGTTTCACAGTTCTCAACACCTGCAATCTCCTAGTGAAATTAAGGACTCAAAAAGGGCATCAAAAGATAGGAATTCACAAGAGAAATAGTTTCTCACTTCCTGAAAGCAGATGGCACATGAAAGAATTTAAGCAAAACTTTTGGATTGTCATAAGCGGCACGGCACCTAAAGTAGATACTAAATCCGTCTACACCAAATTACAATCTGATTTATTTCTTTAAAATTTCAGTGATATTGGATTTGGCTTTAGTTTGTATCCACGTGAGCGGTATGGCTGATTGAGAGAACAGCTTTAGACGTCGATAACCAGACCGTAAGTCTTGTAGTACTTTGATTCAGCTAAATATATATGATGAAAGAGAAAAAAAAGAGAGAAAGATAAAAGTCGTCATCACCATAATCATAGCATCTTTTTAAGCACTGCCAATAATCTACAAACCTCAAAGAACAAACTCAAATAAAATTCTGACGAATAGAAATTTTATATATACTCGCCTACAGACTGAATGCTTTCATCTCCTAAAAACAACAACTATTCGTGAAATAAGTAGGATTCAATTTTAAACTTTGGTCCACATTCCATTCCAAAAATAGAAACGTAATGCATGTACCTATCTGCAGTATATTTCGAGAAGATCAACAAGGGAAGTCAACACAAACTTGAGAGAATGTATACGCATATATTACCAAAAATTCAATCATCCTGAGCATCACCATTTAAATGTAGAGAAACACATACAAAATGGTCAGATATTTCATAATATTGCTTATAAATGAGAAGTATCTGCCAATATATCAGGAAATAATACGAAAGATTAAATGCAAACCAAATTCATACCTACTTTAAAAAAAAAAAAAAAAAAAAAAAATGATCTAGAGTTATACACACTGCTTGGATTGAAATTATTGTCAATAGATAAATAA